AATTTGAACTATAAGACTTACAGATGTGAAATTCGGTAAGAAAGTTTTTGTTGAGTAGATATCCATTAAGAAGGGGATTTACGACTCCCAGAGTTTTGCAGGGCTGTTGGGGGGGGGGGTAAAAATATTCTGTTTTTCAACTAATAGACTTACAAGCTTGAAAACTGGCAAACACGTTCTGTTAGGTACAGATCCTCTAAGAACAGGTTTTATGGAAATAGACCCCCAAAGGGCGTTAAAGAGGTGTTATACATACAAAAATTTTCATTTTTGAACTATTATATTTCTCTCCATACTTGAAAATCGACAAATATTTCTTTATTGTATGGATATCCACTGAGAATGGAATTTGCAGAAACCTACTTTCGGGAGGGTGTTACGGGGGCGATATAGATATTAAAAAAAAATTCCCGTTTTTGGACAGTAAGATCTACAGAGGTTTACGAACATATTATTTTTGTTGAGTAGAGATGCATTAAAAACTGGTTTTGAGGAAATCGGTTCCGGGGAGGGAGATTTAGGATAAAAGGATAAATATATTTCTGTTTAAGAAATTCAAGTCTAGTTCTTTTAAAATTAAAAGGTGAGGTCCATCAGAATGCGTTTCTATGCAATCGAAGCTTAACGCTGGGACTTAAATAAAAAAGAATGTACAGTGTTCCGTGTCATGAAAATACCCAGCAAAGCAAGTGGCTAACGGCTATAGTTAGGATAGTAAAATTCATATGACATATAATATTTAATTTCGTTTTGTTTTATGAAAGAGTGAGTGAGTAAGTGAATAAATATTAATGTCGCATGTTAAGCTACACGAGGGTTTTTGGCGACGGCCTTCGTAATTTTGAACCATGGTCAAGTGACGAGGACGACACCTGACTTGCCCCCCCCCTCTCCTAACTACCACACCAAACCAACGAGAGGACGTTTGAGCTCTCGACAGATTTAACGTGTATTCCCTCCCCCTTACACGGTGGGTCTTTAGTGGTACTGGGTTTATGAAGCTTAGAGTGT